CGATCATATTACCAGTTCTCCCAAATGACTCGAAATGTGTCAACCATCTAGCCTCAAAAGAATATTTTCTTCTGCCATGTTTCAACAAATCTAGCAAAAAAATTAAATATTACAATCAAATATTAAGTTGTTTTATTCAAATAATCAACAACATATTATTTAATTTAATAAAAAATAAAAATAAACTTCAAAGATAAACATAAAATAATTAACTATTTGGTTCTCAACATTTTCAAACTTTGCAATATAATCCCTAAATTTATAATTTTTTCAAATTGAACCAATTAAGCATACTAATACTAAATTCCAGCATAGTATACCAACTTTTAATAATTTACATCTTATTCCTTAAATTCCTCAAAGTTTGCAAAACGGTCACTATAACTTTACAATGTTCCAAAATGATCCAAATCTTATTTCAATTTATATAACAACATATAAATCATTATTTAAAACTATGTAATGTGATAACATATAATCACAAAATTAATAAATTATGAAATGAAAATGATGAGATCCATATATATGAAACATTAAACCTTTAAAACAAGAAGCAAATTAGATCTAGGGCTTGAGTTTAAATTACCTCAATTTTTTTGACTACGATGATGGATATCCTCTCACTCTTTTTGCTTCTAATGATAGATATCCTTCCTCTCACTCTCTTTGCTTGTGTTAATGAAATCTCACAATGAAGAAAGACGTCGAGCCGAGCACTCTTATAAAGATGTTTCGAACTCTTGTGCATGCATTATTATGAAGAAGACGCCGAGACATCCCCCTCCCATGTGAAGAAGACGCCGAGTATTCCACCCCCAATATGAAGAAGACGTCGAGACATCCTCTACTTAATCACATGTATGCTGCTAATCCCGACATCCAGACCCCATGCATCTTTCTTTGCTCACCCCGTGAATTCCATGCTCACCATGTGAATTCCCTGCTCCAGCTCTACATGCATTGCTCACCCCGTGATTTCCCACGTCCAGCCCTATATGTAGAGCTCCCACTCCCATCCAGGCCCACATGTAGATGAAGAACTCTCAGCAGCATGCAGTGTAGCTCGGAGGGGAAGTAGAAGACGTCGAGACCTCCATGAATGGTGTTAAAGACGTCTAGACATTCATTTTGCATTTGAAATCTGCTAAAGACGCCTAGAGATCCATGTTTCCTGTTTAAATCACCCCATTTGAGGAAATAATAGCATGGCTTCATTATTTTGGGAAATAATATATTCCCCATGCATTATCGTGGAAGTTTTGCCGATTAAACCCGTGGCGAATGAAATCAACTCGTAGAAGCATCAAACATCAAAAGCTTTTGTCATTTTTTTCCTCGACAGATCTTCTCATTGTTCCGTTTGGTGAAAGTTTTTGGAGCAGCGGGAAAGACTCGCTTTTGGTCTGCCACTGCCCTACCTTCCAATGTAGTGAAGTTATTGCCGAGCCCATCTGGTAATAAGCTGCGAAAGCAATCAAGGGTAAACAACAACGATGGTCCTTTATATTTTTAGTCTGTTAAATTTTGATCATTTATTTTGAAAAAAATGCTTTTGGTTGCTTTTATTTTTTTATTTATCTTATTTTAATCAACGAGTTGTTAATTCTTATTACTTTATTGATGTGACATGTTAGTAAAGATAGTTAATTTGATGTTGAATTTTAGATAAATATTAATTTGACCTTAAAATTTACATATAATACTAATTTAACCCCTAAACTTTATATAAAATATATAAAATATCAATTTCGCTCTTGAATCTAGTTAAAGTTTATGTCGTTGACCGTCACTCTTCAATGTTGTCAGTCGTCACTTACCTTTGTCATCGATGACCATTGGACCCCCAAAATTTTTTATTCACCCATTTTTTATTTCCCAAACATGAATTCAATATTCATTTCACCGAAATTTTTAAAAAGTGAAACCCACAATTAAAATGTCGGGTTTATGGTTTGCATCACATTTCTAAATAACCTATCGTGTAATTTGTAAACAAAAAATAGATCGAATAAAAAATAATATTACTGAGTCAGAGTAGTGCCTTGCTCTACTCTTGAATAACCTATCAAATAGTGAATCATGTTTAACGTGCATACTGCTACGCCTAAGCTTAATGAACTTCACTAAACATACCCAACACTATCATAAAATGTCAAAAAGCTCTTACGAAAGGGAGTTTTCGATCCATTTTACGACTCATTTAGTCAAAGATGTTGGATTAAAATTCATAATTATGAACACATATCTTTAATGTATATTGTTATCATAAAATATACATAAATTAAGTGATCAATTATGTTATAAAGTCATAAGGTATTAAAAGTATCATAGAAATAAAAGTGTAGATACAATTAAAATTGTATGTATAATTTAATGAGTGACAGAGTTTATGTTCAAGAAAACTCTATCTTCTTAGAAGATCACAACCAAGAGAGATTCAAAGATTTCAACCGATTAATTCAGGTATTCTTCCGCATATAGTATTTTATTTTTAATGATTTGATATATTAAATTCTTATTGTTTTCATATTTATTATGGTTTGGTTCTAACAAAAGAAACCACATAAAAAACGAGAAAGTTTCGTTTAGGAACAATGTTAAGTTGTTAACCCTGCAAATAGGGCAAGTAGTGCCAACTTTTAGCCATGCGTCAATGCAACTATCATGAAAGCCATGTAGACACCTTAGCCATCGGAGTTTTCCCTCATTTGAGACCTCACTAATTCACACTACGTAATATTCAACTTTACGGTTGCTGCTTCAGATACTCGCAAACCATTTGTTATCAACATGAAAGATGCTGCTGACGCCAAAGACGACGAGCAAAGCCATGGAAATGGAGATGATTAAGAGCATATCTTTGGTTAATACTAATGTCTTTTGTTGAGTTATGAAAAAATGGATCTGAATCAAATTTTATGGTTGTGCTTGTTGGACTGGTATTTAAGCTAGGCGGTGGTGGTGGAGCTGTTGTATCGTTGCTGCTGCTGTGTTAACTGTAGTGGCAGGTGCTGGATACGTTAAGGCAAGTAGGCAGAACTTTGATTGTATTTAGGGCTCAAATTGATATTTTATATAAAGTTTATGGGTTAAATAAATAATTTATTTAAAGTTAATGTCAATTTAGTATTATGTCTAAAGTTCATGGGTCAAATTAAAAATTAATTATTTTTAATTACATGTCATATCAACAAAGTAACGAGAGTTAACAATCCCATAATTAAAATAAGACGAACCAAAAATAAAAATGATCCAAACCAATTTTTTTCAAATTAATGACCAGAATAAAATAAACTAAAAATGTAAGGGACCGCTATTGTTGTTTACCCAACAATCAAACAAACATTATAAAAAATAATATTAAAAAAAGGAAAGTTGTGCGAAACTAGAATAGCTTTCAACTGTTTAACTTTATAGAAATTACCATAGGCTAATTTTCCTTTGGTTCTAAAATGAGGTGAAACTACTTATACGGACATCCATCTATTGCATAGTTTATATTTTGATAACTCAACTATTATTTTTTTAAAATCATATCTAATATTACATTTTGATTCTATTTTGGTCACCTACAATTAAAAAAATTAACAATGATTCTGTGGATGGTCAACGTGTACCAACATGGCCAAATAATGTCAACTCAACAGTCCAAACGTGCCATATCAATTATCTGCTAATGTGGTAACTACTGCTAATGATTGATTAATCGATTGTTACAAAAATGATAACATTAGTTATTGTTTTGTTAATTTCAAAAATTTAATGCTGAAAACATAATTTACTCGTACTTCATTGACTAATTATGTAGTTTACCCTAGTTAATATTACAATTACATTTTAATATTAGTGGCGTGGCCAACCAAGAGCTGTTGGAAATTTGTCAGGCAATATCTCCGGAAAATACACCTTTATTCCACGTGTGTCCGTACATTGTTAATTTGGGTTAATGAAATGAATTTTGGTAAGCTGAAAATAAGGCGAGATGAATGTATTTATTAATTATGCATTTTATTCATATGTTTAACATTTAATTTTTTTAATTAATTATGCATTTTATTCATATGTTTAACATTTAATTTTTTTAATTAATCATTGTTATCCAATCTATTGACTGATTAATCTAGATCGGGTGCTGCAGAGACGAGGGTGACCCTCCCAACTCAGTGCTCCATTCGCAAACGTCAAGATTCGAACCCCTGACCTTGCTTAAGGGACCTAGTATCTCATCCCAATAGACCAACTAATTGTTGGTAGCATTTACTTAATGAAATTACTAAGTGATTTTAATAGTTAAAGGAAATATTGTTATTATTGATGTTTCATATTCAAATAGTTATATTTACGGGAGTGTATGTATTGTTAGTGATTGCAAGATATTATAATCACTTCATATTATTTAAAAAACATATTTAATTAATTAATTTTTTTTACTTTTTCAAATTAAACAGTAATGTCAAATGCTAAGATTTTAAGATCTTACATATTCAACATCAAAACTTACTATGTGTCTATATATGGGTTTAGTCTATTGTCACTAATGTATTGTTATAATCGTATCCTCAAAAAATAATTATTTTTAAAACATTTATATTAAATACACTATAGATAAAGTATATAAATGATCATTTACCTATGTTAAAATAATTTTTTTCTTTTCATTAGAATTTTGAAGGTTAAAAAATAATAATTAAAATTTATAATAATTATAAAATAGTCCTTAAATTTTATCAAATTATATAAAATGATTATGAACTTATTAAATATTATTATTTTATAGTGACTATTTTATAATAATTTTACAAATTTACAACTAGTTAATGATTTATAAAATTTCAATGATATAATTTTAAAATTATTTGTGTAATTTACCCTAAACTATTTATGGGACTTATGATGAAGCTCATACAGAAACCACTGGTTAAACGAAGCCCATTACCCAAGTTCCCAAATAAATCCAGAGGCCTAACCAAATGCGCAACTGCAAAAAACCGTTTCTAATCCATTGAAGGCAGGACCGCGCCGTTTTTCCTATGATTTCATCTCCGGTTCTTATTGTTAGCTCCGTAATCCCAAGTGGTTCGACTTCGTTCTGTTCTTCTCCGAAGTCAAAATCATGGTGAAAGCAGTGGTTGGAGAGGAAAGCCAACTCCAGCTAGCCGAGGAGCGTCTCTCCCAATCCTCGGCTCCGGCTCAGGTCCGCTACTTTTTATTTTCGAAATCAAATTACAAAGATCAATGAATTCCGAGGAATTTCACGATAAATTCATTTTCTCCCGTATGAATGCAGGTTGGTTTGGTGATAGGAAAACTCAGCTCCATTCTGGACCGCGGTTTCGTGTACGATCTAGTACCCACTCCTCAAAACGATGCCGGACAGCCAGCTTGTTTGGTTCTGGAGCCTGCAAAAGACAATAGGAAAAAGGGGTCGAAACCCAAATCGCAGTCCTCTGATTCTTCCTCATCTTTGGTCATTGACAAGGATTGGGTCGCTGAACATGCTCGCCAAGTACGTTTTACTTTTTCTTTGTTTACTTTAAATTAGTGAAGTGGATTTGATTTTTCCCTTAAATTATGTAAATGTTATTGAATCAAGGTGTCGAGAATGATGGTGGGTGGAATCAGAGTAGTGGGTATTTATGTGTGGGCTGGTGAGGTCGCATTCAAGAATTCCATCACGGAGCTTTGTCAGGTGTTTTACTTTATATTTGCTTCATTTATATTGAAGTTTTGCTTTTTTTTTTTACAAAATTTTTATTTGAAGTTTTGGTTTCATCAATTTATGATCTGAAATAAATGTAACTGTTTTTGCAGACTGTAAAAGTAGTTGCTGAAGCAGCATCTCTTTTGGAGGATGACCTTGATGAAAGATTGCTTATTCACGTATGTTATAGCCCAAGGAGGTATTTTATAAAAACTAGATCCATAGTCAATAGTATTTCTTATTGATGTTTGCTATTAAGTTTCATTTCAATTTTGATCTGAAAATGTCACTTTTTTGGTAGATGGGCATGTCGAACTTGTACACTGTCATCAAATATTACATCAAGCAGCTTACGACCTTGTGACTTCAAAATGGGAAGGGTCTTAACTTCCCTTCAAACTTTTAAGTGCTTCTACGACTTTGATCTTAGGTAACCTGTATTACCGATTCCTCTTTTTTATCTGAATCGAATCTTTCCCATCATAGAGCTCTATTAATTGGTTTGAGAATACCTTTTAATTTGTCCTTGGGTACAAGTGGAGTTCTGTCCACTTTCTTATCATCTATATTTTTCCTGCTTCTTCATAGCTTTTGTGGTCCTTTTGGCTAAAGCATTAGGCTACCATATGACAAGTCTTAATTTGCAACTTAGTTTCTCTTTCTACATTGTTGGTTCTCCATATACACATGTTGACATTTTCCGGCCGACTGTTTTAGCTTCAAAGGAATATCTTTAATATTTTTTTATTAACAGAGGTATATGTTATCCAGGCTGCCTATATATCAAGAGAAATCATTAAAATCTGAGACACTTGTCGGTGTTCTCCGTAATGGAATTTTGAATTATGTTAAAGAGCTACGAGATGCAAAAGTCATGATCGATGGGAACATGGTGAGAATCACAAATCAGCCTGTTGAATCTCAGAGCATCTAATTTATTAATCTTCTATAATTATGGAATAGTATCCATTCCTTTTTGAATAAATCGTTCACCTTTTTACTGATAATTCCTGATCTTCTTTTTATATTTAGGTTGTTAATGATGAAACTTGCACAACAGATGGTTTGCATGAAGTTGAGTTGTTTCTACCATTTATGAAGGATATGTACATCGAAGGTTTCCTGGCCTTTTCAATATTTGAACTTAATTATCTTTTCATGTTATACTGTAAAATCTAACATTTAATAATTTGTTTAAATTTTGTGAAGCATGCAGCAATAAAGATGTTGTAGGTATTGTCAATTTTACTGGCTCTGTATGTTCCTTTTCATTCTTGAATTCAAAGGAACCAATTTCACAGGCTGTTGCTGATATAAAGGTTCCCATTTTTTTATTTAGATGATAACTCTCTCTCTCTCTATACACACACACACACACACACGAAGTGTTGGGATGGAAATTCTTATCCAGAGAAATAGATGGGATTAGATGTTGCATCTCTATGCAAGATAACAATGACCAACTTAGATATTTTTCAAATGTTTATCTGAATGGATGTGACTTGTGAGTGGAATACAAGATTTGGGAAATATATGAAATTATCTGATTTAGTTGAGTTGATGTTGACAAATACGGTACAAATATATGTGCTGAGATTCTAACATTCTCTGGCACATCAAAAGACATGCTACCCCTAAAACTTTGGTCTGAAGAGTCTCTTTCCACCTTGTGCCATCTATGATTTAAGTTTGAGTTAGCATACCTCTCAGTTTTAAATTGTGTTTGTGTGTACATGGTGCAAGCTTTTTTCATGTAGCTATTAATTTCTCTTATTTGACATGTCATAGTTCTTTTGATATGCTTTTAACAAGCATATAGCATATTTTATCTTCCTTGAAATTCTTCAGCATAGAAATGAGAACTTGAAATGCTAATGTTCAAAGGTTAATTGTATGTTCTCAATCCCAGAAGAATGAACTGTCTTATTCACTTGAGTGATATGTGCTTGATATTCTTGTCTTATGAAATTGTTCATGGCTGTGATCAGGATGATATCATCAGGAGTTTGCTATGTAGGCTGGATATCATTTGCGATGAAGCGGGTGAAGATGTAGGGCCAAATGACGATGTAATTAAGGAAACAGGAAATGACTCATCGTCTGAAAAGCCAGTTTCCCAACTTGTTTTACACTCCTTGAGGTGCATTAGCATTGTTGATAAGTCTTTATTTTATCGAAAGAACCCAGCTCTAATTGGAAGACTTATTTACTGTCATTCAACATCTAATCTTCTCTTGTCTCTATCAATCAATTTGAGGAGTGATGCTTTCTGTTGCTTAGATCTTTGGTTTAGGCTTTTTTCTACTGAATCACTGTACATTATTATCGTCATGGCTTCATGCAAAAAAATTTAGATTTGACTATGTTGTGTCTGCATTATTGATTACATAAGCAGAAATTGTACATTCTTATCATGATGGCTTCATGCTAATAAATTAGAAATTTGAATTTATTGTTTGACTATGTTGTGTCTGCATTATTGATTACAGAAGCAGATATGTTAAATTTTTACCTTCTTACACAAGCGACTAACAAAATAGCATATGTTTGTGTAATCATTCTTAAATCAATATTTTCAATTCCTATGTACGGGTTTTCTTTCCTCCATTTCCAACCAAAATTTCATTTATCTTGTACTATGAGCAAGTTGGAATAACGGAAGTTGATATATTCAGGAAAAATTGCAATCTTTCATTACCTCGGAGGGTCTTTGTACCGTGGTTGGCGGGTACATTTATCAGCGACTATCTTCAACCATCAGAAACACTTGAGGTTCTTCTTCGTCTTTGTTTAATTGTGGGATAACATGTTTACGTGTGCAATCTTTGACAAATGAGTATTGTACTCGTCTTTTTACTGTTTTATTTCTTTAAAAAATATTCTAATTTGGTGTTTTCTTGATCTGGTAGGTTTTAAAAGACCATTGTGTTGAATTGATGTCCATGGAAGCCCCAAACGATGCTTCAAAAATCTTGGAACCAGAAGAAGAATCCCTTAGAGTGACCACTAGATCTTTTTGGGATATAGTCCTCCCTTACTCTTCGACATCGAGCTCTTCCCAAAAAAAAGGTGGAGAAATTACCGGTAAACAAACTAGTCAGAAAACCATCAAGTCACCCAATGTAAACTTCATTGCTGCTATCGTCATACTCCTCCTCTCAGTCTTAGTAGGTTACATTTTTGTTAGAAAATCATAGTGCACTGTGTGAACATTTGCAAGTAATATGGAGCACTCTAAGAATCAAATATGATAGAATGTTGTTACTTAAATTTGGCTGATGCCTATTTTAACCGTCATTTTGCATTTAGTGTAACATGCTACAACATTGACATGAACAAGATATATTTGATGATTCTTAAAACAGTGAGTCTAATTATTTTACATGTAATGTAGACTTATTTCTGTCAAATTGCATTTAAAATTAACAAGAGCAGTGAAATATGAAAAATAAAAAGATTAAAGATTACACTTTGATGAACAGATTAAAGAATCCTTGGATGGTTTAATGGTCTCCAATTAGTTGGAAACTTCCCCTCTTGAAACATTCAGGTTTGCAACATCTGTTGGTGAGCAAAGTGGTGAATCCGCCTCCCTTAGGCTGCAATATGTTGACAACAGTGTGTTACGCATTTCAAAATTAAGCGTACGATACTACGTCGAAAATGTTAAATTACCGTTTATCCACATTGACCACTGAACGAAGCTCACAATTGCCAAAGCTGAAAAAAAGAGAGAGGAAGAAATCAGATCATTTACACATCATTAGTTACAGGCAGATCTAACGGTTGCACAATTAATTAAATGTTTTAAGAAAGGGTGAGTACCGTTTGCACAAGGCAGATCTAATGGTTGGATGGCAGTCATTTCCAAGTACATATAATATCTTCTGAAGGATTATGCCATGGCTCACTATCACTATCTCCTGCTCTGGCCTTGTCCACAACCTGTGATCAAATAATCAACTACTAATAAACACAACCAAGATTTTCTGGACGTTTGTTTTTCTGAAGAAAATCTTTACCATTCCATGAAAAGGACCATACGTGCAGCCATTTCCTCTTCGGACCTCCGGATTCCACATGCTGTCTTCTTCTCCATCTATCTGATCCATACCAACAACATATGCATACATACGTTAATACCCATTATCACTGGATATATATTGAGGTGGCTAATTAAAGAACTCGCCACTGAAAAATCAATAGAGGGGAAAAGAGCTTGACACTCGCTAACCCTCCGCCTCATATCACAAGGTCGTTGACCCTGCGTGCAGGCAGTCAATTATATGAATGATATGCATTTTCAAATATAAATGTCCAAATATGGTTGGTTGCTGGGTTTCGGGTAATATTATAAAATAGATACAGGACGTACCATGCGATCTCGACAAAGCTCAACTGCCATAATTTGGGGGCAATTGAGACCATTGTTCCCTCCATCAGCCTGGTTTTCACTACCGAAAACTCCCATAGCAGTTTGCATGGTCCTATTAGTGAATCATTAGCTTGGGATTGAAATTGAAAAATATATGACAAGTTATTAATCTTTAACAAGGGAATTTGAAAATTCAGGAAAATTGTTTTCCTTTCAACCTGTACAGAGGAGAGGTGATGACTAAGTCAATCTTCTTAAAAAGCCCACTGGCATGAACATCCTTGCCAAGTTTACAAACCTGGAAAAACAAATGGAAAGATTAAGCTTGATTGTATATATTTACATTAGAATTACTTCAGGTTTTAACGATCCATAAGAATCCATTTGTTATTATTACATTACCTGCTGCAACCCCAAAGGGGAGAGTTGTGCATCAAATAGGTGATCAGACCAGTGCTTTACGGTCCTCGTCCCCTTCTACATTATGCATAGCTTGTCCATGCCTCACCTGAAAGTGATCACGTCTATGGTTTAATAAGAAGCATTTTCATACGAGGGTTTAACTTAATTGGCACACATAATCAACACTTTGTTAAAATAAAACAATAACATACCAAGTGAATAATTTTGCAACGCTGCCATGGGTATGGAAATTGAGCTGAGCTGGTATTCATAACTTTTCTGCAAATGGAATTTGAACTTAAGCAACGCAAAAGGCTTGTGATTGGGAAATAATTAATGGAACAGAAAGGCAAGTGAATATAAAATGATGGTACAATTACGAGAACATATTTTGTAGTAAAGAAGAAGGAAAAATGATGGAACTTGAGGAGGAAAATGTTTGAAGGGACTTTGAAAAATGTCGATTTGACCTCCCAACAACTTTCAAATATGTACTGGGCTATGTGTATTATATACTATGATTTCCCTTGATATATATAGTTTATACTAACCTATTCAAAGAAATATATAATAATACCATTGAAATGCTTAAACATTTCGTAGAATAATTAATACAGCTGACATGCAAAACTGCATGTCTTGGCCTTGCTTACCAGAAAATTCCCTGGAAAATGAATAAATCGAAGGAAAGAGTTGTGGAAACTCTGAAAACTTGGTTTAATTACCTCCGAGGAAAAGTATTATGAGTTTCTACTGATTTACTTTTCATTTAGGCTGTTTATTAATTGAATAATAGTCAACCCATGCAACGTAAACACTGGACTATTTAGTTTCCTTTTTTTCAAGGAAAATGTCTGCGTACACGTGTGAAGCAACTAAGTCTTTTTTTTTAAAACGCGATTGAGTATTTACATATATGCATTATTATTTTTCTTGAGAAATACTCTTAGTTAGTTATTTCTTCCCCCTATATTTTGTTAGTCAAAGACGTTAACATCTAAGAAACACTTTACAGTAACAACATTGAGTAATAACATTGGAAATAGATTATAATAAAATAGAATGAAAAGAAAATAAGGATAATAATAAATTATTTATTTGTCAGTAGTCATTGGATCATATGGGTTGACACGTTAAAATATGTTTATATAGTTTTTTTGAGATAGATTTGTTCACTTCTATTGTATTGGAGAGCGTTGGTCGACTATCTCCCATGATACAACAACGAGATTAGCACAATAATAGCATGACTGCAGTGATCAACGAACAATAATCTTGCCTTATAATCATGTTATAATTTAAAAAAAAATAATCAAACGTTTAGTTACGTGATCACCCGTTAAGATGACACAAAAGTGGTGAAAATGAATGTTCAAGCTTCGAAGTATTGATGTAGGATAGAAAATGAATTACTAATATGTGAGAAGGTGATAAATTTAAAGAATAAAAATGGTGCGATGTGTATATAATAATATAAGATGAAAACATTAATATATTTTGTCCTTTATAAAACTTATACCTTTCCTAATTCATTTCTGTTGGTGTTTATCTTCCTCTGTTTTTTTCACTTCTGAAGCCAAATGGATTCAATTGCAGCACCTCCTCCTTTATACAAGTTTGGCCGTCGTAAACGTAATCTTCTGGTTTGTTCCCACTTTGTTTTCTTCTATTGTTTTGGCCCTGAAATAGAAAAAAAAACGGAGTTCATTTATATGAAGTATGTCTTCATATGGGACGATCACGTTAGTATGGGAAGATAGAGATAACAAAGAAAGAAATATGCTAGACTGTAAATAAATCATACCCAAATATATTGAAAATTTTCTGCATATGCTTTCTCCTGACATGCTTTTTGGAATAAAAAAATAGAAGTAAATAAAAAATAATACAAGGACATTTCCTTGTAAATAAAAGTAAATATGCTTTCTCCTGACATGCTTTTTTTTAATCATACTGTTTATATACTTGACTTCAGAGAGTTTGACGATGCAATTAATTTCCTACACTAATTTTCCTCGGTAAATTGTGACAGTGGTACTTAACTACTTGGCATTTCCCTCCATATTAACAGTAGTAATTGTTTACATTTCTGGGTTTTGCTTTTCCTGATGAAAATAAAACCGACCTTGGTTTAGGGTGCTATGAAAGCAAATTCAAACAGCTCAAGTGGTTTGATGAAATGCAAAACAGCTTTATCTTAAACTGCCTTCTCCAAGGATATGCCATTCTTTTAATGGCTTCCAGTTGAATTGCCTCAGTATAAGTCGCTCTCAAACAATCGGAAGCGACTAGATCGGATCCAGACGGCTCGAGAGAAAGTCGATGATACTGCTCAAAATAAACTTGTGGAAGGGTGCAACATTGCCATCCATACACTTTATTGAAAAAAAAAAAAAAAAAAACTCATGCTCGTAGTACGTAGGAACTCTGTTTTTCATTTAAAGAATTGACAGCATCAACTGCTTAAAGCATTTTGATCTAGCTAACATTATTGAAATGATTTTAAGATTGCCTAACGTATGTAACTTGAGAGCTTAACAAAAAATTTCAAATACCTAACAAATAATCTCAGTAAATTTGTAACGAATCATGTTGTGGATATCAAACTGAATGTGCCTGCTTGGTCACCCCTCGAAACACGAATAAAACTATTTGGCATTTCCTTCGTCTGAAAGCTTCTCAGCAGCAACATCACTCGGAAGATCAGGCCGCTAGGGATTTTTCCGGGATAGTTAGTTGTTGCAGGATCGGATCCCATCATACTGCAATGAAAAACAAGGAAATTAAAAGAAAAGTTTTCGACATTAGTATCCTATCAAGAAATCTAGTTCAATTTCAAGTTTTTAAACTGCCATGCTTACCTTCTATCAACAAGAACTACAGACCGGAGCTCACAGTTAGCAAAGCTGCAAAAGATGGACCGAAATTTCTTATTTATCAGTTAAATCCACAGATATACTAACATGCAATTGCCTATACATCCTTCTTCGTAGTGGTTAATTACAATATTTTTTTTTTGCAGAACTCACTGTTTGCATATTTCGGTTTTCACTGATGGATGACAATCACGCCCAAACTCACTTAAGGTATGGTACAAAAATCCGCAGTGTGTAACGATTGCAATTTCCTTCTCCTTCCGCGTCCACAACCTGCAACAAATGTTATATAATCTAGTCATAGGGCAGTTCTGTTTTGGCATACGCTTCCATTTCTTTGTTATGTTGCTCCAACATAAATGGAAAATTTGCAAGAAATAGACCACTCACCAGTTCAGAAACTTCATTCCTCTGGCTGCAACGTCTTTGTTCCTTTCTCGGATGTCAGCTACCCATAAAACATCGTAGTCGCTTTCGATCTGAAGGGAGAAAATAAAACAAGAATTTGAAACTACGTAACAATTGCTGCTGATGAGAAATTGAGAATTGAGACAAAACACTTGCCAGAGAAAAATCAATTGCAGGAAAGAGATATCGATACTCCGGGATGCTTCTTCTTCTATCACATGGATGGACTCCCTGTGGTTCAATGGTTCAAGGAGGAAACAATGAAACTGAGATGAGAAAGACACAGTACCAGAAGTTTCAA